TTAAGCCAAATGGCATTCTTAGGAACTCCCAGTGACCATTTTCAGTTGTGAATGCGGTTTTTTCTATATCTTTTTCGTCCATCTCGATCTGGTGAAACCCACTTGCCAGATCGAGAGTGGTAAAATATTGACATCTACCGAGTTTATCTAATAAGTCGGTGATGTTTGGAAGGGGATATTTATCGTCGATTGTTTTTGTGTTTAACTGTCTATAGTCTATTACAACCCTCCATTTTCTTTCCCCCGAGGCGTCCATTTTCTTTGGTACCACCCAGATAGGGGATGACCACGGAGAATTACTAGGGCGAATTATTTTTGAGTCTAACATCTTTTTAATTTGTTTTTGTACTTCGTCTTTGTATATGAATGGATATCTGTATGGTCGTGAATAAACAGGAATTTCATCTGTTGTATTTATTTGGTGTTTGATTTTATTTGTGAACGTTAGGGGTAGATTATCTTGATGAAATATGTCTGTGTATTCTTTAATTAAATTAATTATCTGTGATTTCTCTTCTAAATTTAAATGGTCAGTTCTGAATTTTGAAAGGTCTAGGTTTTGTTTAAAATTTTCGTCAAAATTGTTTAAGTCAAATTCTTGAATTAAGTCTCTATCAAATTTTTCTACATCTATTGGTTTTGAAAAGTCTAAAGTAATTGGGCAGGTAGAATTGTTTAGAATTGTCGTCAATGCTTCGCCATTTTTGGCTATTGTAAGACATTCTGGTATTTCGCAATTTCCGTATTTTTGATGTGGAATTATTATTTCTCCGTTAGAAACAGTAGTTTTTATTTTTATTATTTGTTCGCAACGCGGAGCTATGTTTAAAAAATTTATTTCACTTTGAGTTGGCTGAAAAATTAACTGAATTTTAGTATAAGGGGTGGAGAGGTATCCTTTATCGAAATCTAAATTTGCTTGCAAGATTCTAAGGTTATCTATTCCTATTAACCCATCAAATATATTATGGAATTTAAACAAAAAGAATTTTAAATTTGTATGATTTGGTAATTTAAAAATTTTTGGAGTTGGAATTAGCGTACTATACTTATGAGCAGATTTTTGAAACACAGACGAAACAATAAATGGATCGTCTTTTATGTATTTTGAATAAAATTTTGTTGCTACGTTTGGATCGATAAAAGATTTTGTAGACCCTGAATCAATAAGTAATTTTAAATTATGTTCTGTAAAAAATATATAAGGTAATTCGTTTGCATTTTTTATATTATTAAGGGATATGACGTGCGGAGTTACGTCGTGGGTCTGCCATGAGGCTGATTCTGAAAATTTGTTTCTGGGTCATTAAAATCAATTAAATCATTCTCGAGATGAAATCTTTCGTTGCCATAAGAAGAGTTATGAACATTAGTGGGTTCAAGATTATTATCGTGAGAATTAGAAAAATTGTCAGCATTTTGACATTCCGCATTAAATAATTCTTCGGCTATAAAATTCATTCGAGGTTGGTTTCGATTAAATGAGTTTGAAAAATTTGGGCCATTTCGAGTAGAAGTACTCATTGGAGTATTTCTGTTAAATGTATTGCGCGTGGAAACACTCATTGGAGTAGGTTTTGAAAAATTCTGTGTAGGTGTTTGATTAGGTTTAAAAACGTTATTATTTCTATTTTGATTAAAGACTTGAGCATTAGTAGGAAAATTTTGATATCTAGGTACTCGTGGTTGGATGTTTACAGGACCTGTTGGGAAGGAATTTTGTGTTGTAAAGAAATTATTAGGAGTTTGTGCATTAAAATTATATCGAGGTTGTTGATTAAAATTGTTTCTATTATTAAATCGATTTTGATTATTTGAAATTGGTCTCTGTTGTTGCCTAAATTGTGGTGAAGGTTGTTTATTAAAATTTCTGTTTTGGTTATTTTGAAAATTTTGGAGATAATGTATATTATCTTCATCTAAAACATATTGCAATGCTTGATTTAAACTATTGGGCTTCATACAACGAATTGTAGTTCCCAAAGGCTCCTTAAGACCGGATAGAAACGTTTTCAAAGCTAAAGTATTATACAAATCCTTTTTTAGTAATTTACTATTTTGAGTTATTTCGTGTAACTCTACATAGCTACAAATAAGATTTAAAATATTTAAAATTCTATCGTAAAAATGTTGAGGTTGTTCGTTATTACCTTGCCTCATCATAACTAGATCGCGATTTAGACAAGCTTCGTCTCTCTGATCGGCAAAATTTCTAGAAAGAGTATCTTTTAGCGATGTCCAACTGGTTACATTTTGTATATTTACAACAAGTTTTGCGTTTCCACGAAGTTTAGAAATTAAAGAGTTTAATAAATATGTATTTTGGAAATGATTTGGCTGATCTCTAATATAAAAACTGTTAATAAGGGATTCACATACCGATAAGTACCTATTAAGTTCGTTTGGATTACCATCGAACTCTGGTACGCAATTTAAATATTCAGGTTTAAAGTCTGCCATTTTTCTTAAAGGTTTTTTGTATTTTAGATCTTTCTCTTTATTTCTATTTTTAAAACTAAATCTAGAGCAGCTTTCTTTTTTTGGAATAGGAAGGTCAATTAAATTATCTAAATCAAGAGTTGCAAATTCGTCTGCGAGTAAATCAATTGACATTTAAAAATTAAAAAAAAAATAATTTTAAGTTACTTACAATAAAAACACGAATTTGAGCATTATCCTTGTCTAACTATAAGGATGAACAGTACCTATCCCTGGAATCTGCACTCCTTGCAAAGTTGAGCGATTTGTGTCCCAACTTTCGACGCTGATTGTTGTGAACGGCTATACTGGTCCTCGATGGATGGGCTTCTCGATGTTTGGGGAACCACTCCAATATCAACACCTCCACACAGGAATCGCGACAAATGTTCGATATCCAATCAATCGTTAAAACGAAAATTGACACGTTCGATACGCGACAACTTGGATATCCTACTGACTGCGCCACAAATATTTTCTGATCTCGAAATTCGTTTTTTAAAAAATATATTTTATTATTTTACAAGTTTTATTTCATCTAACAATATATCTAACTATCAAGAGAGCTAATTAACAAGTGAAGTAATGATTATAAAAATGTTGTAAACCAGAATAATGAAATTAGATATGCGATAACAGTTTCCAAGAAAATAGTCGTTGACTCTTCAATTCACATAAGGAACGTTGACGTAATTCGTGCATCGGGATTTGTATTAAAAATACTATATATCTTGCTGCATGTCATTAATCAAAATTGATCCGTCATTGTTATGTGAATCACGAAAGTATGTACCATGTACGTCAACAATAAAACCGTCAGGTGTTACAACAATTCCAGCTTTAACTAAATTATATTTTTTATGGACTGAAAATTGGAATATTTGGTATTTTTCAATAAGTACAGTCTGGATACAGGAATTTCTGGATTGGCATTACACAAAATATTCACATGACTTTTGATAAAAAGTTCGCGATTTCTAACATCGTTACACTGGACACCAAAATTTTCTGGTATAAATCTTGTTATTAAACTAATCGTGGACCAAACATGGACGCAATGAACGCATCCGACAGACCTTGGCGTAATTTTATTAAAAAGGCTAATAAATATCTCTTCTTTATCTTTTTATGCTTTCCATAAAGAACAACGGGATCACAATATGTATATAATTCTCTAAATTGTCCCTTCGGCAGAGACACAAGACTTTTAAATTCTGTACCTTCGAAATTATCTTCATGAATATATATTGTTCTTAAAATATTGGAATAATCGTTCATTTTTGAATACCATAGGGCAATTTACTTTCCTTCCATAATAATGAAAGAAGGAATAGTAATATGATTTTCAAAGAAACGGGGTTGAATTACAGCAGTACCGTTTAAATGGCGATTACAACACCTAGTATTACTACCTTAGTTTTCATATAAAAATTTAGTCTTGCCTAGAAAGTTAATCTATCTCGATTTCTTTTTCTACATATAAAACATTTGTTCGGAAATTTATAAGCAAGTAGTTCAATGGGGCCTATTGCTCTTGGATATGGTTCTAATTGACAAACTGAACATATTCTCGAATTATAGTGGAAATAAAGTTTTGTATTAGGTGGTAATGGCATTTCAGGAAATCCAAATCTTGATCTATGCAAAACTGCTATATATTTTCTTTTTTGTATATTGACTAGATTATTACTTTCTTCTTCTATTAAAAAATTAACTAAATGAGGTGTGTTGAAAATAAAGCACCAAACCATTTTTGTAATTATTAAAACCAAATAATAATCTTAATAACAACAATTGTTTCATAGCATTTTCAGTTTGCAAAAAACGAAGGCACTCCACATAGACAGTTTTTTTACAAAATATAAAATACCTATTATCAAAAAAAGAGACTTTTAAAATTGTTTCTAATAACACAGCTCAAAAAAGAAGAATGAAATATACAATGTAAAATAGAACAAAGTGCGGGTCCTTTGCATTTCGCGACGCGGTTTAATAGACGATGGAAGCAATCTTTTTTAATTTTATTTTAATTTTGTTTCAATTTTGTATGTTCTAGTTAAACAGAAAAATAAAAAATTATAAACCATTCTTATGACCAGGATACAAAAAGAAAAAACGTTTAAGCATACAATTTTACAAATATGATGGAAATAAGAGATTCATTTCAGTAATAGGCCCAACATTTTCAATTCTTTGACAAAACATATTAACAACATAAAAACCTTTTCTAAAGTGATCAAAAAATTCATAAGCTGTAATTTCATAAATCTTACAAACTTGTTATAAATAGTACCCAACTTTATATATATTCACTCATCACATTATTTATGTTTATAATAACTCTACATTTCTACTCTATGTTTATTTATCTCTTGCACATCTAGGAGCATATTTTATGTATTTTAAAGAGTTGCATTCAAATAATAAAAATTATCTATATCTATTATCTAATAAATATAAAAAAAGGCTAATAAATATAAAAAAAGGCTAATAAAAAGATTTTAAAACACCAAATAACTTACCTATGTTCTTCAATATGCCCTAATTCCATCTGATATCTAATATTACAATAATGGAAATCTTGGTATAAATACCCATAACCTTCATGGTACTCTTTGGATTCATAACACAGAGCATACATTACGGCAAATGGCAATCCTGCTTGGAACGGCTCAGCATTACTACAAAAACAAATATATAAATAATTCGTTACTTGTTAAAATATACATTTTAAATATACCTGTATGATACCCAAATATAACAAAACGCTTTAGGGTCGTCGGTAGGTTCTTGCAAAGCAAAATTTGTAACTGGTATATGTCCCTCACAAACCGGAGATGTGTAAACCAGCTTTAGACTGGTTAGATTCCAAAGCTGGAAGGCGCCGAAATTATAGCCAATTAGTAGCGAAGTCAGTTGAGAGCAATAATATACAGCACTTATTATAACTTCTTCTCTGTTTACATGTATATGATCATCACCTAAAATTATTAAAGATTATTCAGACATTTTAACATTAAAGCAAAATGGTATATCAAACTCAATGCAATTCAATGGTATAGTTTGTGATTCAGGTAATGATATAGTAAACATGGTTGCTGAGTATTTTGCATCAGTATATTCTGAAGACAGCAGAACACTTAGGCAATTTTGAGTTCAAACATATGCCATATTTTTAGGCTATTTTTATACCCTATTCAAAAATTTTGTGCTCCTCGTTTTTTGCAAAAGTCAAGGTGCTCTGTTAGCTTCGAACGAAGTCAGCAAAGCACCTCTTTTTTTTAAGTTTTTTCCAAAAACAACGACACCATAGTTTTATGCTATTTTTAGCCTCTTAAAATATTATAAAACTTTCCGAAAAATATTGTTATTTTTAAAAAATACAAGGTGCTTTGCTAGCTTCGAACAAACTATTTTAAGGCTTTTGAAATATTATAAAACTTTACTAAAAAATTGTTATTTATAAATAATACCAGGGTGCTTTGTTGGAACGACGTAAACAGAACTCCTCGGCTTATTAAAGCTTTTTTCTAAAAACAATGACACCGCATTTTTCGGCAATTTTTTGCTCTTGAAATATAAAACTTTTCCAAAAAAATTAGTATTTTTTAAAAAATACAGGGTACTTTGCTAGATTCGAACGAATCCAGAGACCACCTCGGTTTTTTAAAGCTTTTTTTTCTAAAAACAACCACACCACATGCTTTGTTGGAACAAAGTTAGCAGAGCACCTCGGTTTATTAATTTTTTTCTGAAAACAACTACTTATGCAACATTTTTGAACTAATTTTAGGCTCTTAAAATAATATAAAACTTTTTCGAAAAAAAAAATAGTATTTTTTTAAAAATAGAGGGTGTACAAATGCAGCAGAGCATCTCGGTTTTTTTAAAGCTTTTTTCTAAAAACAACCACACCACATTTTTAGGGTCTTAAAATATTATAAAACTTTTCAAAAAAATTGCTATTTTTAAATAAGAGTCCTTTTTTGAAACAAAGTCAGCAGAGACCCTCTGTTTTTTTTTTTTTCATCTCGAAACAACTACTTATGCCACATGTTTAAGCTATTTTTAGGCTCTTAAAGCATTTTAAACTTTTCAAAAAAATGTAAGTTTTATAATATTTCAAGAGATTAAAAATAGCCTAAAATGCGGTGTGGTTGTTTGTAGAAAAAAGCTTTAAAAAACTGGGGTGCTCTGCTGGATTCGTTCGAAGCTAGCAAAGCACCATGTATTTTTTAAAATATACTAATTTTTTTCGAAAAGTTTTATAATATTTTAAAAGCTTAAAAATAGCCTAAAAATTTGGTGTAGCTGTTTTTAGAAAAAGCTTCAAAAAGCAGAGATGCTCTGCTAACTGTTCCAAGAAAGCACCCTGTATTATTTATAAATAGCAATTTTTTAGTAATGTTTTATAATATTTCAAGAGCCTAAAATAGCATAAAAATGCGGTGTGGTTGTTTTTAAAAAAAGCTTTAAAAACCGAGGTGGCTTTGTACAAAGCTAGCAAAGCAACCTGTATTTTTTTAAATAACAATTTTTTTGAAGTTTTATAATATTTTAAGAGCCTAAAAATATGTTGTCTCTCTCTATGAAACTGGTAATATCAACCTCTTTAGTCACATAATTTTAATATCAGATATTTATTTAAAATTAATCAACCTCAATATAAATAGGGGACGTCTCGGCTCTCTTCCTTCCATTTCTTTAAAAAAATTTGATTTTAATCTCGCTAAGCCATTATGTCATATATTCAACAATCAGAGGTGCCCCTCAAGGATCACACTTAGGGCCAATCCTTTTCAACCTATTTATTAATGACATATCTGAGTCGTTCTCCCTTTCAAAGTTTTTGTTTTTTGCAAGTGATTTAAAATTATACAATGTGTCGCATTTAAGATGAAGGCATCCCTATAGTTTGCCTATCTAAATAAATACAGATTTGAAGTTTTGCAAAGTCATACAGGGTGATGGTTCACATTTTTTAAGATAATCAACTGAAATTTAAATTTTAAACGTGGCCTACTGCGAATCCACAAACAGGGTCAATTTTCGATATTTTTCTTTGCGCTAGAGATATCAGAAAAAGTTGTTCCGAATATTATTCTAACCCCACATACCAAATTTCATGACAAAATTCACATTGTTAGTTTTTTCATTATTTTGGTCAATATACAAAATTATTAAAAGTTGATCTATTTTATTCGATAAACTAGTGTGCCATGTATAGGAATAATTTGACACTTGTGAAATCATTAATGTCAATTAGATTAGACTTTCAGTTTATTACATTGAGTTCTATTTAGTGAAAATCGATTTAATATGCCGTTGACTTTAAACGAAAAAATCGAAATAATCCGATTGTTTGGTGATTTTGCTCGTAGTAACAGAGAAGTTGCTGCAGAGTTTAACAGGAAGGCAGAAGGACTTCGGTCGATAGCCTATTGGACTGAATTTTTAGTTCAATAAATGACAATTATTAAAATTATTAGTTTAACAGGAGGCATCCGCAACGTAGGTACTTTCATTACACATGGAAAAGCAGCCGCTATAAATGATATTTTCAATGAAACTGGCAGTGTTATTAAAATCCATCAGGAAGGCCAACCTCGGCGAATACACCCGCATCCTGAGGATAACGATATACTGGCGGCAAATCGAGCAAATCCACGCATGAGCCTTCGAGATTTATTATCCCAGCAAACATTTTGGTGTAATTTGACGTCGATACTACCTAAATTATATATAATAAATTTGGTGGCAAAATTAGATTTAACCATAATTAAGTACAATTTACGTTGGCTCGACATGGATTCGACATAAGTGGAGAATAAGACGACGTCGAAATTTGGTTTTATTTACCAAAATAGGTAGAATTACATCTAAATCCACATTGTAGTTTAACCAGCTATCATTCAAATAAATTGAAACCACGTTTGGTTAGTAATACCTCTCTAGGGAAATTTGACGTCAGTATAACGTTAATTCGACGTTGATTTAACTAAGTTTAGGTAGAAACTACCAAAATATTTGCAGATGACGTATGCCTCCAAGTGTACGAAAAGAAATTTTATACTTATTTGGTATTTTTATCTATATATAAGTAGAAATATTGTAAGAAGTCACCAACACAACTAAAACATATACCTAATTCACATGAAAGATTGAAAATAAATAAATGTCGGTGACAAAAATATATGTAATGTAATTGCGGTGAATATACAGTTCACGCTTGTTGAAATTAATGCGAAGAAAATTTTGTCGTGCATGTTAACAGTTCTACTTAGAAAAATAACAATGCCCTTCCAAAATTCTCTTATTAAAAAAATGTAAGAAAAAAATATGATCGTGTAAAAGAATAATAATAATATTATGAGCTAAAACTATGTTACGTTTGTTGTGTATCACTTTAGAAAATCAATATTGTTTCGTTTTTCGGTATTTTCATTCGTATGTTTTAGTTATGGTCATTTTAAAAATTTAAAATTTGGAATCGTACTTCAATTACGTTAAGAAAATATGGCGTATTGTGCGAATTCGACCTAAAAGTTATTATGACTAAGGAAATCTACGTATTTTACAAATATCTTTTTACTAAGTTGAATTAACTTCAATTTCACGACATATTAGTTAACTTTACCTATTTAAAGAAATAATAACTTATAGGTTTTATAAAAAATTTACCTATAGGTAAATATAACATATTTAGGTCACGTTGTTCTGCACTTGAGATTTTAGACGTTTCACTTTACGATAAAAATCGGAAGTATAACGATATGATTTATTATTTTTCGAACTCATTTTATTAATTATTTTTCGCACTCATTTAAAGCTCTATCTACACCACACGTAAATTAAGATTACGACTGTAATGGTTTTTTTAAAATGGCCGAAATTCTTAAGAATAATGACGAAGACAGTAACTGAACAACCTAATTGTTAAAATAACCTAAATAATATAAATTTTACAAATAGGTCATGTATGACTCTTTTTAAATTGGTGGTTTTTAGTCGAATTTACTTTGTGGTAGATTTTTCAGGTAATTGCTACAACAAAGTTAATTAATATTTCTTCAAGATGACTTATAGGTCAACTAAATGAGTATTCGACTATTTGGTTGAAATTAGGTAGATAAACAGGTAGAATTTTGCTACGATCTCGACCTAATATTACTTTAAAGGAGAGTAAATAAAAGCGGCGAAATAGGTTACTATGGAGGCATAAAATTACGTAGAATTTTTAACCAAATCTACCTAGTTGGATATTCTACTATAAAGACGATTTTTAGTTGTCAAACAGGTAGATATTACCTTAATATGGCACCTAATTTTACTACAAAGGAAATTTAACTTTGAAGTAATTGTTGGTTATTTTTTTTAGTAGTTTTTCACTTGCTGATATGGTTAAAGCTTAGATAAAAGAGACCAGAGATATAACATACACCGGTTTTAAACCTGCGCAAATGTTGCCAATTTCTAAAGAAGGGTTAACGGAGTGGGGGAACTGGGCGGCGACACGCGTCGACCCGAACTCTGTGACAGGGACCGGACTTTGTTTATTAGCAACTTAATGAACTATTAGGTTTATTTAAAAGGTGTTTAATCGAATTTTGTATTATGAAATCAAATTATCGTGATTTTTTAATATCAAACAGATGCCACGACATTTTATGTAAAGAGAAGACCTTTTATAGAATATTTCGTTAGCGTTTATTTACTACGGACTTCTCTGCAAGAGATTACAGTAAAATGTTGAAATAGAATATATTGTTAATAGAGCAAAAAATGTTACTCATTGTCTACGAGTATTATAACAATAGCATGTGCGCAGGCTAATACTGCAAATCTACCCTTATGAGTTGAACATTATATTTTTTCTACGGCTATTACATATTATTAAAAATTAGTCAAAATGAGAAAATGCTGTTTTGTATTGTAACCTCAGAAAAAGTATATTAAGGCTTCTTTCTTTAAGAATATTAAT